GGCGGGGCCTTGGGGCAGGAGGGGGAGGGGCGGAGCGGAGGAAAGTCTGGGGACTTTACTGCGTTAACGGACTGGGGTGTTTCGCGATCCGAGAAGAGACGAGACCCCCCCCCCAAGGCTCAAAAACTCATCTTTATTGGGAAGACTCTGAACAACCAACCTACCCTCCACCTTTAGGTCTGGGGAAGGAAGGCTGGGGGTCTTCCCCCTCTTCTCATATATACAGTCTTTCCGGAATCCGGCTGGAGCAGGTGCCCCACTTGGGGGATTGAGGCAGCTTTAACAAGCTAGTACACGGAAGTAACGCCCCTTTTCCTTTCCAGACTCAGTTTTCTCATTTGTAAAATGGGCTCAAGGGGAAACACGTATAGCTACGGTGCTTCCCGCCAGCGCTGAAGATGTCCGGTTAAGAAGAATGAGGAGGTCGGAAAACTGACCAAGGGTGGCCCAGGGGGATGGGGGTGCTGAACACTCCGGTTGTGTTCGCACGCCCCTGCGCCTCCCCCCATCCAAGCACCTCTCCTCTGACACCGCGGGAGCTACGTGGCTTCAGGCCCGGGGGACAGGAGGCCGCCCCCAAAGGCTGCCTCGCGGTACTGGTTGGGGAACATGTTGCTGCCCACAAGGCTGGCTGTGCCTCCGTCCCCGGGGCCCGGGGCCTGGTACGAGTCCAGCGTCAGCGGCTCGGGGCAAGGGGGCTCCCCAACTGCGACCCCTGCACCCCCGCTGCCAGCGACAGCGCTAGCAAGTGGCGGCGCCGGGGGTAGCAGGTCCAGCATGGTGAAGAGCGTGGGGGCCACGGGGTCGTAGGCAAAACCGTCGTCCAGGAGGTCAGGCCCGCCGGGAGGCTCCAGGCCGGGCAGGGACACGGTGCCGGGGAAGAAGTCTGTGTCCAGCAGCAGGGCTGACGGTGGGAGGAATGGGCCTAGGGAACGAGAAGAGAGAAGTGTGGTGCGCTTTAAAACCAACTTCTGGCCAGTCCCCCAACTCAAATGCCCCGCCCCATGCTAAACAGGTTATGGTGGTGGCCTCCTTTACTTCCAAGGAGAACCTACCAGTAGGGACTATCACCATTCTCATTTAATGTGCGAACAGAGGCACTGAGGGAAAATAACAAAGTCACACACAGCGGGTGAGTTGTGGAGCCAGGGTTGAAATCATGCTTCTGCAGAGTTGTGGAGTTTTCCCCACAACGAGGAAGGAGGGGAGGCTTCAAAGCGTCCCAAAATAGAGAGACAACCCCAAAAGTAAAATCTCCACACCATGACAGACCCAAGTTGAGAAGTCACCCGTTCCAAAACGGTTGAAATCATGCTTCTGCAGAGTTGTGGAGTTTTCCCCACAACGAGGAAGGAGGGGAGGCGTCAAAGCGTCCCAAAATAGAGAGACAACCCCAAAAGTAAAATCTCCACACCATGACAGACCCAAGTTGAGAAGTCACCCGTTCCAAAACTGGAGGGTAAAATGATGTGTCATGAGAGGCTTTCTCCCTCTCTCTCTGAGACAAGACAAACCTCATCAGCAAATGCTGGTTACACTTATCTTGGAAAGAGACATGGGCCTACCGGGACTCTATTTCTCAGCCTCTCTTGTAGCATCTTATATGGTCATGTGACTAAGTTCTGCTAATTGGAATGTAGGTGTGATGGCTGGAGCTACAACGGCCACCTTGGACCATGACATGGAAACCACTAATTGAAAATAGCAGGAGCTTGGGTCTCTGATGTCATGCAGCCACCAGACCATCCCCGGAACACCTACCTCTGGATAGCGTTTATGTGAGAAGAGAAATAAAGTTCTATCCTCTTGAAGCCCCTGTTATTTGGGGTTTTGCTGTGAATGCAGTTAAACAAGATCAAAACAAATACAGGTGATATTCCTGATTTCTGGCAAGTTCCTAACATCTCCTGGGCACTAACTCTGTGCAGCCACTATAATAAATAACTGTACAACATAATCTCATTGAATTCTGGAAAGAACCTTAAGAGGCAGGGTTTCCATCTGACAGATGAGTAAACTGACACTCAGAAAGGTCACACAGTTGCCCAATTATGGACTCAGAATTCAAAGCCAGTCTGATTGTAGAGGCCATGCTTCTAACCATTACACTGTAGTGCCATGGTGGCTTTGCCCCAAGGATGAGGGAGGGGAGCTTTAGACATTGGGAAATTGGGGTGATGGGAATATAGATGAATGGAAGGGGGCTCTGGGGTTTGAAGATGGCAGGCTGGTGGAGTGGGCTAGGACTGGTGGTTGCTAGGAGTGGAGCTGTGGGCATTGGTTACCAGTGGCAAGTGAGTAGGGACAACAGGTAGTACTTCAAACCTCCATGGTGGGACTGTCTAGAGTGGTCCAGGCTCCGCCAACTCTGAGTGGGTGGTGGCTGGCTGGGAGCTGGGTGCCCTGGGGTAGCTGGGATGTCAGGGGCAGTGTTGTTAGAGCTGGTGGTCACTGGGTGGGAGGAGGCTTCATGGGAACTGGAGGCTGGCATGTGAGTTGAGCCTAAGGTGGGGGTAGAGGGTCAGAGGTGGTAGGATAGAGACAGGCTCTGAAATCAAGGTTGGCTGGTTCCAACAATCAGCCTCTTTATCAACCATCTACTCCCTGCTACCTGTTTCACATCCATCATCACTCATTTATACAGAGGCCCAGGTTCAACTCCCTGTTCCACTACAGATCTGCTGCAGCATCACCTTGAGCAAGAGACTTCACCTCTCTGGACCTCAGTTTCTTTACCTGTAAAATGGGGAGGACTGACAGCACCCACCTCACAGGTGATTATGCAGATTAAATGAGTAAACACACACAAAGCAGTTATGCACCTGTCATATAGTGTCTGTAAAAAGAAATACATTAAATTTCAAAAGGCCAGTGATGTAGGTATGTGGTGAGACTTGTCAGAGGAGCCCCTGAGGCTCTGAGAGATGGAGCAACTTGGAGAAGGTCACACAGCAAGTAAATGGCCCAGAGGAGATCAGACTCTCCTGTCTCCAGAGCTCTTATTCTTTCCACTTTATGTTGTAGAAGAGATGAGTCACTAGCCTTGTTGGAGGGTGTGAAGAGGCTAGAAAAGCAGGGATGCAGCTCACGCTCAGCCCAGTGCAGGAGGCAGGGGCTTATGTGGAGCCAGGACCCACCTGAGCCGTGGCTGGGCAGAAAGTGGTTTGAGAAGGTTGGCTTTTTCTTCCGCCGTTTGCTCTCGATGCCATGGGGATCTAAGGGAAGGCAGAGATGAGGACCCCTCAACCCCAACAGCCCTTCCTCCCCAGCCTGGGGTGGGGCAGGGCAGTGGGGTCAGTCATGCCCTCCCAGGAACCTGGGGTTGGGTGTAGAAAGGGGCAGAGGGGACACACCAGAGCTGTTCAGCTCCCCAAGGACGTCAGGCATCCCCCGTTTCCGCTTCTTGTCTACACCATAGCTGTCTGTTCAGGAGATACCAGAAACATACAGAAAGTAATCTATCAATAACAGTAATTAATTAATAATTAATTATAGAGACTTTTTCTGAAGTTGTTGAGCTGTTATGGTTCTTAACCAACCAATGCAAATAAATGTCCGCATCCTAATCAGAATAAAATTGAAATTCATTTCCAACCACACTGGCCTCTTTGTTGTTCCTGGAACACCCTACGCACAATCCTGCCTCAAGACCTTTGCACTTGCTGTTCCAGCTGCTTAAAACACTCTTTTTCAAATCCCACCACTTCCTTGGAGAACTGCTTACGCATCTTCCTGTCCTCAGCTCAGCTCTCCCCGCCTCCAGGAAACCTTCCCTGACCCCCTAGGCTGAGTCAGGTGCCCCTTTGGGGCAATCTGAGTCCCTTGAGCAACTCCATTCCACTCCTGCCCACTCTGGTCATCACTGTGTAGGAATGGACTGTCCCCCCCCCCCACAGGACTATATGCCATATGAGGACAGGGCTAGGGGCTGTCTTGGTCACCACTATGTCCCCAGCACTACCCACCACAAGATGAGGCATTAGCAGGCATACCGAGGGGATGAATGATTAACTACTCCCCAAATGCCATAAGACAGGTGCTATTATTTCCATTTTGCACAGGAGGAGACTGAGGACAAGTTCACACAGTGAGTAAGGAGCAGAGCTGGGACTTGAACCCCAGTCTATGTAGCTCCAAGTCTGCATTCTACTTCTGCCTTTTCCTCTTCCCCATCTGGATTGTCCCAAGCAAGACCAAAGACCTAGTCTCTAGGTCAGTGGTTCACCCCGGGTTGCTATGTTTACCATGGTCCCGAGGCAGGTATGTGAAGGGCAGCGGCTCGCTGCAGACACCATCGGTGAGCCGCTGCAGGTAGACATTGACTGTCACAGGCTCAACAATCTCCAGGTCCTCATAGGGTGGCGTCTTGAATACAATGGCAATCTGGCGGTGGACATCGGCTTGGGAGAAGTCAGCCCGACCTTCCCAGGAGGCTGTGCTGAACACCACTGATATATCCTCTGGTGGGAGAGTAGGGACAACCGCTGAGCCAGGACAGCTGGCCCACTGGGCCCCCAACTTGCTCAGCTTCCCCCAAATCAATCTTAATATTCCTAAGAATAAAACTAATCATAGTGGCAGCTAACTTTCTGTTGAGCACCTATTGCGTACCAGTCACTAAGTGTTTTATATATATATTTTTTAATATATTATCTCATTTAATCCTTATAACAACCTAAAAGGTAGGTAGAATTACTATCCCCATCATGTCAGGGGTCCCCAAGACCACCCTCAGATTCACTGATTCACTAAGAGGACTCACAAGACTTAGCATATAATTGCACTCACAGGTATAGTTTGTTATAGCAAATAACAAATTATAATTTGTTGTACCAAGCACAATCAGCAAAAAGAAAAGATGCCTGGAGTGAAGTCCAGATGAAACCTGACGCAAGCTTCTAAGAGTCCTCTCCCAGAGGACTCCCACTGGACTGAGAGCCCTGTGAGGGCAGGGCCTATGTCTGTCTCTGTTACTGTGGTATCATGGCACTCCCCAGCACAGGGCATGGCACAGAGGAGCCATCCAATAACCCTTTGGGTGTTCATTCATTCATTCGAAATTTTATGAGAACCTTCCACATCTGAGTATACACCCAAAAGAATTGATGGCACTCCCCAGCACAGGGCATGGCACAGAGGAGCCATCCAATAACCCTTTGGGTGTTCACTCATTCATTCGAAATTTTATGAGAACCTTCCACATCTGAGTATACACCCAAAAGAATTGAAGACACATGTTCAAATATAAAAACTTGTACAGGAATACTCACAGCAGCACTATTCACAATATCCAAAAGGCAGAAACAACCCAAATGTCCATCAATGGATGACTGGATAAACAAAATGTGGTATATCCATGTGATGAAATGTCACTCAGCCATCAGAGGGAATGAAGCACTGATACATGCCACAACATGGATAGACCTTGAAAATATGCTGTGTGAAACAAGTCGGGCACAAAAGGCCACATAATATATGATTCCATTATTCCATTTATATGAAATGTCCAGAATTGGCAAATCCAGAGACAGAGGGCCGGCCCGTGGCTCACTCGGGAGAGTGCGGTGCTGATAACACCAAGGCCCCGGGTTCGGATCCCATATAGGGATGGCCGGTTCGCTCACTGGCTGAGCGTGGTGCTGACAACACCAAGCCAAGGGTTAAGATCCCCTTATCGGTCATCTTAAAAAAAAAAAAAATCCAGAGACAGGAAACAGATTAATAGCTGCCAGGTGTTAGGGGGAGAGAGGACTAGGAATAGGAGGAATAAGGACCACTGAATGGGTACGATGTTTCTCTGGGGGGTGATGAAAATATTCTGGAACGAGACAGTGATGGTGGCACAACATTGTGAAGATAATAAATGTCACTGAAGTATACATTTTAAATGGTTTAAATCGTCTCTCTCTCTCTCTCTCTCTCTCTCTCTCTCTATATATATATATATATATATTTTTTTTTTTTTTTTTTTTTTTGTCAGTTGGCTGGTATGGGGATCTATCCAAACCCTTGACTTTGGTGTTACCAATAAAATGGTTTTTTTTTTTTTAAAGTTGACCGGTAAGGGGATTTTAACCCTTGGTTGGGGGTT